AATTAAATATTTTGACATTGAACATAAACTTTTATGTTAGAAAATAGATTCTTATATAAAGCAAAGCTTTAATTCTAATTTTTTAAAAATTTAAAAAAATAATTTTGAGAAAATACTCTTATAATATATTTATTGATGCTCTTTTTTCCATATAAAAATTTTTAGAGTTTTAACAAAATAATCAAATATTGCATTCTAGCTTAGAAATATTTAATGGACTAAAAAATCAATTGAAAGCATAAAGCATTAATCGAATTTTTATTGATTAATTGTTTTATCTAAAATAAATTCATGGTATTTAGCTAAATTAAATATCGTTCATAACTCTATTTTCTAATCTGGACACACATTTATTTAATATTGCTTAAGTTCCAACATAATTTTTTCTCAAGGATAAGACATCTTGGAAGTATTTGAATGTATTTATAAATGAAATTACAATTTTAAGAACTGTAAAAAGGTGTCAAAGTAAATTTTGCGCCATTGTATTATAATAAAAAGATATTTTAGCTTATTAGTTATAAGAGACATTCAAGCTTTAAAAATAAAATGAACGATTAAATTAATTGTGATTTGTAACAAAATATTTATAAAAAATATTGCACTTTCATGAATTCAAAAATAGTAATTAAAAAATACCTGAACATTTAGTGTATACAAAATTAATCTATTTCGATATTTGATTGATTCAATTGGTTTTGAGCCATAGTGTTAAAACATAAACTTGCCTTTGAAGAAATTTGTTCATAAAATAAAATACATTTTTCTGCATTTGAAAATATACGGTTTACGATCTAAAAAAAATATCTGTAGCCATAAAATTAAAAAAATTCTAGTACTTAAATATTTAATATCAACAGCATTAAGAAATTTTGTACAAAATAATTCAAAGAGTAATAAATACAATAAAAAGGAAGAAAAAATATCAATTTTATGTTTTGTTCAATCTCAAAACAAAATGTGTTTTTGTGGTAATAAATGCTAATTTGAGCTTTGTTTTGGTATATTCGTAATAAAATAAAAGTTAATTACCTTTTACACAATAAAGTAGAAGAAAAGCTATCTCCAAATTTTAATTAACTTACATTTAATTAAAACACAAAGCATGCATATATTAGTTTTTGCTTTAGTTCTATAAATTATTATCAATCATCAGAATTAATTACATAACAAATATAACAAATATGAATTGAAAGTGTAAATAAGTATTCAAAGAATTTATCTGTTCTAAAAGAAAATTTACAAAAATTGAAATTATCTTGAAAATATCCTTACAAAATACTAAAAATTATATTTAAAACACTATTAAAATGATTATAAAAAATAAAATAAATAAAATTAATATTTATTTAAATAAAAAATTGAAAAATAACTTCAATTTTTCAACATAACTATTAATTGTATTATAATCTTTATAAACATAAAATTTAATTCTTCCAAGATAATTTTAAAAACTTAAATTGTCTTTTTTAGCGCCTTCTATAAATTTATATAATAAATATAGATAAAAAATATTCCTTTCATTACAATATAGTCTATTAAATTAGATATAATACAGTCTTTTCAAACCAAGTAAGTAACTCGCGGTTTATCATAAATATGTAATTTTTGAAGTATTTTAATTTTATTAATTTTTTAATATCTTAATGGTTATAACTTAATATGCCGTAATTCCTCATTAATTAAGGCCACTCACCCCCCAAAGTTTTTTGAAAAAAAATGGCCTCAAAAAATTTTTTAAAATGGCCTTAATTAATGAAGAATTAGGTTTTTTATAATTTTAGCATATTTTTAATTTTATTTAAATTTAACATTTTAAAAATTTTATAATTTGCCGTATTTCTTCTTTCTATTCATTTTTTCTTAATCTAAATTTCTTTTCATATTTCCTTATTATTTATTATTCTGAATTAACAAGTTTATGTTCTGTTTTTGAGTTTTTGGAATTATTAATTAATTTAAAATGCAAATTTTAAAAAGATAATCATTCAACATACTGCATTAAATCTTAAATTTTAAGTTTGTTTCATAAATAATATAAAAATGAAAATTAATTAAACTTTTTTTCTTCATGAGTAATTATTAGAATTAATTCTTTTATTTTACATAAAAATCAATATTTCAAAATATTTTTTGATAGGATGTAAAGAAAGTATTTTATCATTTTAAATGAATTGGTGAAATTATTGAAATAATTAATTAATTTGTTTAAAATAATTTAAATTTTTATGATATGAAAATTCTCGTTTTTTAATCATTAAACCTAATTTATTTATTTAGATGTTTTTCTAAAATATTTGATCATGCAAAACTTCATTTTTAAAATTAAAATCTGATTTATTATTTAATAATTAAAGATATTATTTTTGAAGAAGAAGGCACTAAAGTTATATAATATTCAATTTTAATACATTTATTTTAATTTAGATTATTTATAATTTTGACCAATAAAAAGAGCTAAGTCATACTTAAACTAATTGATTTCTATGACTTCTTAACTTGAAAAATAAATTTAAGAAAGTAAAATAACTAACTATATTTATTACTTTAAATCTATACAAGAGAAAGAAGTTTGAGTTGGTTAACTTTAAAGGTTATTTTTTTAAAAATTAATATTAAATACTTTTCCAGTAGCAGCATAACAAATTAATTCCTATTTTATTAATAACAATATTATTTTTAAATTATTGATCTAAGCTAAAGAGAATATAGCCAAGAGCTGCCTCATAATCCATTTCAGATAAAAAAATAATTTTAAAATATTTTAGTATAAACAGATCATAATAAAAATAATTTTTAACAGAATTTATAAAACAAATTTTATTATTTTTTAAAATTAAATTTATAATTTTATATTAAACAATTTATTTTTATAAAACCGTAAATCCTCAATAGAAATTGCTTTACGAATTGCCAGTTTTTAAAAAAATGTGTGATTTTTCAAAAGAAGAATTTTAAAAAATCTCGCCCGGCCCGGCTTTCAAAACCTAGCAAAAAATCATGGTGGATAAAATAAAAAATATTATTTATTATCTCCTGAAACATTTAAAATTATGTTATTATTAAGAATAAATGAAAATGGTGATAAATACAGAAGAATTTTTTGAATTTATGATTTCATTTTACGGTTCATAATAAAATTTAATTCAATAATTAAAGAAAAAATTTAAAGAAAAAATAAAAAATTAATTTAAACTCAACAATAATTAAAAATATTTTTTTTATTTACAAATTATCCTCCTAATTCGAAAATTTTCCTAATAAACTGATCTTTATCAAAAGTATAACTTTAGACTTGTATAAATAAAATGAAAAAAACAAAATTAAAATCGCTTTTTGATATTAAAAATAATTTTTCTTTATCAATAATAAAAATTTATCTTATTTTAAAGTCCTTCCTATTCAGTAGTGCAGACAGTAAAGTACTATCAATTGATGATATTTTTCAAGAAATATAATATAATTCAATTAAAATTTGAATGAAAAAAACTATAAATAACAAAAAATATAATATAATATAACTCATCGTAGAGAAATTACTTCAAGAAATATTTAAATTTTACAATCTCTTACATTTTTTTATAATTTAAATTTATAATTTTGCATCAGCTTGACTCTCATATAAATAAAAGTTTTTTAAATAAAGAGCTTATATCTTTTACAACTTGTAAATATTTTAGAAAAGATTAGAATTTGATATTAAATTTCTATTTTAATCACCATAGAATACCTTTAGACTCTTTAATTATTACTAATAATTTCCAATGCAATCAAAAATCTTGTTTATTCTTTATTAGGAATTAGGATAGTTTACATCTATTGAGAGATTTTCTATTTTTAATTATTTGATGAATAAAATAAAATTCTATACATCTTCTTAACTCTTTTTATCAGTATTTGAATATTATTGTAGATGACCTAAACTTAATTTTAGAGTTTTTAAATTTTACAATGATAAAATAAACTCATATAACTTTAGTCTATATCTTTCACCTTCAGGCATATCTTTCTAAGCAAAATTTATACTTAGTGTTTAAATGCAACTTACATCTTATTTGTATAATTCTTGAACAGATTTTAAATTCTTTATTTTCTAATTATTTTGAAGCTGTACTTAAATTGAAATAAATTTAAATGTATTTATATCTTCGGTAGTACTAAAAAGTGCTCTGCATGGATTACCGCTATCGTATTATTTTAAGAAATCCTTTGTAGCAATGGGTATTTAGTATTTCTGTAAAAATTTTATAGGCTGTAATAAACAATCAAATTTCTGAGCAAACCAATACTAAATATCACTAAATATGTATTGAGGGTTTTAATAAATATTTTTAGGTAAAAAAGTGTTATTTAATTGATATTCTTAGAAAAAATAAACACACTAATTGCAATTTTATTCACAATTAGCTGGACAATATTAAAAGCACTTTTAATATAAAGTTGCTTAACCCCAGTTTGTCTTATATTCTCTCCATTTAATATTTTTAGGATCTCCTACAATTTTATTTAATTTTAGAACCCTCATATAATGATTGCATAATTTTAAGTACACTGAATGTAAAACATGATGTGTAGGATTTTAGAAAAGATTAAGAAAGTACATAGCACTAAATAATCTATTGTCATTAATAATTTAATCAAATTGATTAATTTATAGCTTACTATCTTTTTCATTTTATATAAAAATATAATTCTTTTTCTTTTAAAAAAAGTGAAGAGTTAAATTTATAGGATCATCTGTTGACTTAATCAATTAGGTAAAAGTTTATTTTCTTTATTATTTTATCTCAAAATTTAGTTTGTTTTGGTCTGTAAAGAATATGTCTTCTTAAACATTTAAATAATGCATCATTTTTTGATAGAAGCGTAATTCTTACTTTTATTACTCAGTTAGTTATGCATTAATTTACATCATTTTATTTAATTTTTTTGATTTATTTTTTAATTAAATTAAAAATTAGATTTATTTTTTTAATTTCATTTAATAAGCAAATGTTTTGATATTTAAAGCCAAAATAAAAGAAATTAATAAGTAATAAGTTATAATCTGAATTAGTCACCCGCAAAAATATAAGAAATTCTTAAAATAAGTGTCTATATTAATAAAAATGTAATATATTTTATGATATTAGTAATTAAATAAAATTTTTATTTTCTCAAAACTAGAAAAAAAAATCATCATTTAACAGAAATAGAAGCTTAATTTAAAATATTATTAATGATCAAACTATTATTTATTATAATCCTCACACATATTTGAAAGTTAGTAAAATATAATCAATTTATTTAGTTTCTTTTCATATTTTTAATTAACTCATTTTATTCATTTTAGTTTTTTTTTTAAAGAAAGTTTAAAAAATAAATTTGAGTGTTAATATACCTTATTTCCTCATTAATTAAGACAACCTTTAGTTAAGGCCATTTTAGAAAATTTTTGGAAAGTTTTCATTTTTGAGTCTTAAATTCAATTTCTCTATCTCTTAAATTATAAAAATTACAGTATATATACAATAAATTCTTAAAATAGTGTCTGCTTTAATTATAATAAAAAATTTATTCTATCAAATATAAATAGCGTCAAAAATATCTTTAAAAATATTATAAAATCAATAAATAATAAATTAAAATTTGAATCTTTCTTTCATCCATAATATAAATATTATGAATTCTTAAAATATGTGTCTATATTAATCAAATAAAAGAATTATTCCTTTTTTTTGATGTAAGAACAATAATATAGAAGTAATACTTTATTATCTGATGAATAATTCTTTTAAATATTTTAGCAATTATTTTTTATAATATAAACTCAATAACTTTTTCATTCACTTAGCTATTATCTATGATAAATTCCCTTATTTTCAAGTTTGATTAAGTAACTCACTCACTTATTCATTCATTTTTATCATCCAATTTAATTTAATTTATTTACTTATTTTAATTTTAATAATAATATGAATTGATTAATAAAGAATTTTATTCTATTTTATAATTAAAAACTAACAAAGATATATTAATATTAATAGAAAAAGAAGGATAGAAAATTTAAAATAATAAGAATATTATTTAAAAAAACTTTTTATCTAAATAAGTAATAGAGTGAGTATTAATGATTTAATTTTATCATATATAAATTAATTAAAAAAAAAAAAGTTAGATTAAACAGTAAAAAATTATGTAATATATTTTAAACCAAAGCTTTCTAAAATAAAATTATTTTTTAAATACTTTTATGGTTTTAATGTAATTAATTTATTATTTTTTTAAAAAGTTGTAAATAAGTCTTTACAATTATCCTTCTATTATTTTTTAATAAGATTTTATATTCATTTTACTTATCCAAAATTATTATAAAAACATTATATATGCCATATTCTATTGATGTGTAGTGATTTTTATATTTTTAATAAACCTTGTAATAAAATTATCCTTATTTTAAAAAATAGCATACAGTAAATCTTCATATTAACATAACTAATTTCCACCTGCTTCTTTAGATTTTTTTAAGCTATAAAGACAGATTTTAAGAAGAAGAAAAAATGGCTATAGAAGGAGTCTAAATTAGTGAGAGCTTATTGTATAGAACTAATTTTCTATTAGAGTAGTAAAATGTAAATAAGAATTAAAAAAATCTTAAAGAAAAAAATAAAGCACAAATTTTTTTATAATTTGAAAAGTAAATTATGATTTATATTTTTAATCTTAATATCTTTTCTTATTTAAATAAATAAAAATAAATGAATCTATAAAAATACTACATTAATTACCTCAAAAGTAATAGGAAAATAATTAAAATCGTATCAAAATAAATTATCATAATTTAATTTATATTTTGATAATAAATATAAAAAATACTTTATTTTTTTAAAATTATTATCAATTTTCTCATTAAATATTTAATAAAATACTTTAATAATTTTATCTCAAATAGTAATTTCATATAATTTTTTCTAAAATATTTAGAGTTTATTTACTTTATATTTATAAATTAATATATATGTATTTTTGTTTTCAGTCTGATCAATCTTCAAATTCATGCCTCTCTCTTAATTTTTATGGTGAATTATTAATTACTTACTTATTTTTAATTTTTTTTAATAAGTATATTTTTATAGAACAATTTTTATTTCTTTTCTGATCTTTCTATTAGTTTTTATATTACTTTAGTTAAAATACCTAAAATTTGAAAACGAAATATTTTAAAATGATTATTTCTTAATTTTATTTTAATATAAAATAAGTAAATAAAAACTAATTAAATAAAGAACAAATCTAGAAAACTATTTTATATTGAATAAGAATGAATACCAAAAATATAAGATAAAATTCAAAGAAAATACTATACACTGTAAATGCTCATTGATTAAAGTGTATTTTAATTAAGGCATTTTTTTCTTAAATTTTTTATTTTGGCACTTTTTTTTGGGCAAAAAAGATACTTAGGGAATGCCTTAATTAATGAGCATCTACAGTATATGAGTAAACAATTAGTCATTTGAAATATTATTAATTGATAATCTACTCATTTAAAGTAGAAAATATATTTTTTAAAATAAGAAAGATCAAAAAATTACTATTAATTCTTAAAAAATTGTATACAAATATCCTAAAATATTTTCGTTTGCTGAAATATTTATAAATCTGTAAATGATATATTTAACATCAAGATTAAATTAAAATAATAACATTTTACATAAATATCTTACAATTAATAATGAATGGTAATTTTTTGTTGCTAATCAATAATTGTTAAAGGATTATTTATTAAAATCACTAATTTATTGATTTATATATATTAGCTTTCTATAAATTAGATTCTAGTTATCGCAAATTTAATTAGTCACAAAAAATCATACATTTATACATATCCATAAAAAGTTGATAAAATTAATTAAATAAATTGGTAGCCCCTAAGATATTTACACATATTTAAGAAATAATTGCAAACATAGCTAGAACAGATAATTTAGCCTAATAGATTATTTTATAATACACCTTATAAAAAATATTATTTGCCTCTAAAGATAAAAATCGATGGGTATATTTATAGTTTTTAACACTTCTACAACTCTTAACTATCTATTTATATGAATCAAGAACTAAATAGGTATTTCAAATATAAATAATTTCTTCAAAAAAAAATAATAATAACAAAAAAAATTAGTTAAATGAACAAATAAATCTTCTGCATACTTTTACTTGCATTACTCTGTTTAAGTGCAGCTCAAAATTTGAGAAATCTCTAAACAGATGGAAATGAAACTAAAACAGAAAAAAAAATATGTAATCCAGTAACTGGAGAATGCTGCATACCTAGCGAATCTGATTGTAGTTGTTGGTTTTACCTCTTGGTTGATAATGAATTTAAAGCATTTTATATGTGTGATGACTGAGATTAACAAACTATGATTTTATACTGTTTAAAAACATTTTAATATAGTGATACATTATTCAAGTATTTTATATAATATATATTTGTTTTTATCATCTTTAAATTAATTTTTAATAGAAAATCAATTATCTAGGCACTAATAAAAGTAAATGCTAATTTAATATACAAGCTAGTTTAATTTTTAATGCATAATTGAAATTATTTTTTCTAATTTAATGTATTTACTTCAATTTAATAAAATTTTTAATCAAATTATGAAATTTAAGCATAAAGATTTTTCAATTTAAAACTTTTCCTCTTTTTTAAAAAATCATCTTTATAGGTAACGAGTACCAAAGGTGTATTTCTTAATTTATTATAAAATATATATTTATAAATTAATAAATCTTTGCATTTCAACTCTATTTAATATATTCTATGTAAATTATTATTGCGTTTTCAGCATCATTATTGATATTTTTTATAAGTTTTTTATATCATTTGCATAAATAACTGCTATATTCAGATGTTACTAATATATTTTAAATACAAATAAGAGAAAAAAAAACAATCTGATTAAATAATTAATAAATTTTAATCATAAATTTGAAATTATAAGTGAAGAATTAATTAATATTATAAAATTTCGTTTACAAATATATATAGTTTAACATATATAAACTTATTGTAAAAATAATAATTTATTTAAATTTAATTTTCTTCAACATGTGTATTTGCATTCTTTAACTTTTGTGCAATCCCAACAATCACAACCTTCTTCTCCAATAAGACATTTTACTTCAAATTCAACTTGACGGTATAACTTAATTGTTTTGGGTTTTTATTCAGCAGCTTAAGTGACTGTAGTGAAAGCACATAAAACTAGAAGGACGAGGAGAGCAAAAATAGAAACTTTCATTTTGAGATATTATTTTTAATTTAAGTTGTTTTTTTTTTAATTATTTATTATGAGGTTTAAATATCATATCTCAATTTAAACAATATTTATTTGATTTCAACTACTAAATGTATTGATTACAACTTTCAATTGAATTAAATACAGGTTTTTCTTCCATTAAAATATAAAGCAAAATAGTGAAAGCTAATAAAAATAGTCTTCTATAATTTTTTTTAGATTTTATGAGCTAAATGAGGGCTTTTAAAACTAAAAGCAAAGGTTTTTAGTGACATTAGTTTTAAATTGTTAGGATAAAAGCGATTACATTGTTTTTCTCATTTAAATACTTTCCTACCCGTTAGGTATGTATATCTACTAGAGTCTAGTAAAATAAATAGTAAATTAAAATTATATAAGCGAATTAAAAGCTTAATTTTATTTCATCTAAAAATAATGAAAAGAATTAATTAGCTTTTAGAAAAATCTATGAGCAAAATTAATTAATTAAAATAAATCCCCTAATAAAAATAATTAAGAAAAACTCAAAAGCCTTATAACAAAGATATTTATTAACTAATTTAGCTACACTTACACATCATAAAAATTAAATTTCTTCACAATTCAACATAAATTTTTATGCAGAAAATAGATTCTTTTAATAACACAAATTTAATTCTAATTTGGTAATAAATTAAAAAAAATCATTTTGAGAAAATATTCTTTAAATAAATTGATGCTCTTTTTTCCATATTGAAAAGTATTAAGGGTTTTAAAAAAGTAATCACATATCACATTCTAGCTTGGAGATATTTAATGGACTAAAAAATTAATTGAAAAGCATTAATCGAATTTTTATTGATTAATTGTTTTATCCAAAATTAATTCTTGGTATTTAGCTAAATTAAATATTGTTCATAACTCTATTTTCTAATCTGGACACACCTTTATTCAATATTTTTTAAGTTCCAACATAAATTTTTCGTAAAAATAAGACATCTTGGAAGTATTTGCATGCATTTATAAATGAAATTACAATTTTAAGAACTGTAAAAAGGTGTCAAAGTAAATTTTGCGCCATTGTATTATAATAAAAAGATATTTTAGCTTATTAGTTATAGAAGACATTCAAGCTTTGAAGAATATAATGAAAAAATTAATTAATTGTGATTTGTAACAAAATATTGTAATTTCATGAATTCAATAATAATTAAAAAATATCTTAACACCAAGTTTTTACAAAATTAATCTATTTCGATATTTATTTAATTCAATTAGTTTTGAGCCATAGCATTAAAACATAAATTTGCTATTGAAGAAATTATTCATAAAATAAAATACATTTTACTGAATTTGAAAATATATGGATCGAAGCAAAAATATATGTAGTCATAAAATTAAAAAAACTCAAGTACTAAAATATTTAATATCAATAGGTTTAAGAAATTTTGTACAAAATAGTTCATAGAGCAATAAATACAATTATAAGGAAGAAAATAATAATAATATTGTGTTTTACTCAATCTCAAAACATAATTGATTTTAGTGGTAATAAATGTTAATTTGAGTTTAGTATAGGTCTTATGGTAATAAAATAAAAGTTAATTACTTTTAGCTCATATTATTAGATATATTAATAGAAGAATATCTATCTCCAAATTTTTATTAATATAAATTTAATTAAAACATAAAGCATACATATATTAGTTTTTGCTTTAGTTCTATAAATTATTATGAATCATCAGAGTTAATTACATAAAAAATATTAATTGAAAGTGTAAATAAATATTTCAAAAATTTATCTGTTCTATAAGAAAATTTATAACTATGGAAACATTCTTAAAATATCCTTTTAAAATACTAAAAAATTATATTTAAAACATTATTAAAATGATTATAAAAAATAAAATAAATACTTTTACAATTTATTTAACTAAAAATAATTTAAACAATAGCTTCAATTTTTCAACACAACTATTAATTGTATTATAATTTTTAAAATAAAAAAAATTAATATTCCAAACGATGTTTTTCAGATTTAAAAATTAAGAAACATCAATAATTTTTAAAACTTCAATTTGCTTTTTTAGTATTATATAAATTTAAAAAATAAATATAGATAAAATTATATATTATATAAGCTTATATTAATTAATTATTTTAGTTATATCATTTATTTTAATATTTTTAACTTTATTTCCTTACTTTAAAATATACTCTTTTAGATTAATTATAATAAAGGTTAATATTTTAAAGATTTATATATTATAAGAGATAGGTTAGAAGAAGTTTTTGTTCATAAAAAAATATATTAATATAAAGTGTATGAGGTAATAAAAATATTAATTAAAATTTAGTATTTGTGTCTGAATATAACAAAATTTTTTATTTTAAATCAAATTATTTTTAAATGAAAGCTATTAATTATTTTATATTTAATTTGATAGATTTCAATCCAGCAATGCATTTATTTATTTAGGATTTTTATTATTACTAAAAATAATAATCAAACGATGAATTAAGAAGTAAAAAAAAATCTTACATTCTTTAATTTAATAAATAAATTGAAAATTAAAATAATGTTCTATAAGTTGAATTAATTTTCAATATTTTTTAGATTTAAATAAATCAATTATTAATAACTTACAAATTGCAATTATGAAATATATTTTTTATTATAAAATCATAGTTTTTCTTAATATTATTTTTTTAGAAATAATATTTTTTAACATTTTTATTTAGGATTAAATTTTTAACATTTTTATAAGAATATTAAAACCTGCTATTCTTTCTATTTTTTCTTTATATAATGGATTAATAATTTTAAAAATATTAAGTGAAGCTTATCAATTTATTATTAAAAGAAAAATTTGGCTTACTTATCATTAAAAGCAAGATTAGAAAAAACATCTTGTAAACAAACAATTTGATATTACAAATATTTAAGAGCTATTATCATTAAACAATTATTTTACATAGATCAATATGTAATATACTAAAAATAATAAATTGTCCATTAAGCTCTCAAGGCTTTATCTTTAAAAATAATTTTTCACAATCTTTGTTGAAAATTCAAATTAAAAATTAAATTATTTTCTAAAATTTTAATAAAAAAAGTATTTTAATCACTTAAAATGGTAATTTCTTTAAAGTATAAAAATACTTAATGTAGAATAATCTAATAATTTTAGATTGCCTAAAAGCCCATATCTATCTCTATAAATTTTGGCTCTATTTCTTAATTTTATTAATAATTAAATTAAATTTTTATTTCCTTTATTATTGATAAAAATTATGATGACTAGATCCTAATATGTAATAAATATCATATTTATCTGGATTTAACTTAACCCAAATAACAGATACCCATCAAAAATTATTTTTGCTTGTTTGTGAATAATAATTTCATTATTAATGTTTATCATCAAATTGACTAAAATTTAAATTAGAAACTATTTTTTG